CGTTTGTGAACACGCAACACACACATACACAAGCACAAATAAATAAGTATTGAATTAAACTCTTCCAAAATATCTTTGACTGGATCATAGGTAAAAGAGTCATTCCAATAGCTATAGCTTTTCTTTTCTGGGGAAGGATTGCGGAGATATCAATTCTATTGAAACTTACAATGCATTGTACATATTGGGGTCTGTATATACTCACTGACCCTTGTAATGTTTGAGGTTTAAGCTTAGTTTCTGTGTATTTATGTTTTATCAAGGTCTTATCTCATCTCATGGCAATAATACGGTGTTGTTCCCTTTGACTATTTATAAATGTGATTTCACGCTTGAAAATAGTCGCACATAGAGATTTTTCCAAATAAACTAGCTTGGTTGTTATTGCCCCAATTTATCTTCAGACAGCCTGGTGACGTAATTCTTTATTTTTACCATGCTATACATGCTATAGTTTTAGTATATTCAATGACCAAATGATTGTAATGAAAGTTAATATGTTTTAAGGCTGCTTGGACATGCACTTCAAATCATATTTAATCTAGATACTTTTTGAAATTGCAGGTAATCCGGTATATCCGAGCTATCAGGGAGGGTCGGATTAAACTTGACGATAAGCCTAAGGAGGAGCATAAATTGTACTCATTGTGGGACGATTCAAGCTCTGTGGAAAGACAGGGATTGGCATATATTGCTGCACCAAAGCCTAAATTGCCAGGTGAGCTTGCTTATGTAATGATGGGGTATTTCTTGTTACGTCTACACGCACTTATCTGTTGTTAATAGTATTCATTTTATTTCGACGATTATCCTTGTTTTCTGATGTGAATAATTTCCAGGTCATGAAGAGTCTTATAATCCTTCTCCAGAATACATCCCAACACAAGAAGAAATAAACTCGTACCAGCTCATGTTTGAGGAAGACCGCCCTAAGTTTATCCCGAAACAGTACCTACCTGTCCTATTTTATCCTTTTAACTTGATAATCCTTCTTTTCGGCTGTTGATCCACCTTAATAGTCTGTTAAACTGAACTTTTAATGTGAAATTTAGGTTCACCTCCTTGAGAAGTGTTCCCGCATATGAGAAAGCTGTCCAAGAAACTTTTGATCGTTGTTTGGATCTCTATCTATGCCCACGAGTTCGAAAGAAACGTGTATGTTTACCTAAGAATACTTGCCTAAATGCTGCTGGTAAATTTTTCATGGTCTACAGATTTATATGACCAAACGATTACTTGCTGAACTTATCCAGATTAATATTGATCCTGAGTCATTGAAACCGAAGCTCCCGAGCCGCAGAGATCTTAAACCATATCCCACGACTTGTTATCTCGAGTACAAAGGCCATAGGGGCCCAGTAACGACCATTTCTACAGAACCCACAGGCCAGTGGATCGCATCTGGTTTGGCCTTAATTGTTACTTTTGAGTTGTATGGGGTGTTTCTAGTTTATATGTTTTCACTTTTAATAGAGTGCGCTATTTTTTAAGGTTCTAAGGATGGAACTGTTCGCATTTGGGAAGTTGAAACGGGTAGGTGTCTACAGACGTGGGACTTGGGAGAAAATATTGAGCAAGTTGCATGGAATCCTCTCCCCGAGCTGCCTATTTTAGCTGTAGCAGCGTATGAAATATGCGGAACATTTATTTCTTGTATCTAACCTGGATTTTTGTTGAGTATCATTTATTCACCAAGTCCCACCAAAATTTGCAGGGGCCAAGACGTGTTTATTTTGAATACTGGATGTGGAGCAGATGAACAAGAGAAAAGGATTGAGGATCTTCTACATGTTGGGGCCCAACAGTCAATGGAAGAATCTGGTCAGTACGAGTAAGAATATACTTAATCTAATCTAACATTACGAACTTAGCTGCAAGTTTTGTCATGTCAGGTATTAGTTCATCAGTTGTCGACTGGGGCCGGGATGACAGGCATGGTGGAATCAGGTTGAAGCATTTTAAGGTAATTTTGTGCTGTTTTATTGGGTCTCTCCTTTCATTTTTGGAAGTTATAATTGACATGAAGCTGCTAGTGCTATGTCTTCTTATATTCCCCACTGGAATTGAAGTAGTTAATATTATTTAATTGCAGACTGTCACGAAAGTGGAATGGCACCGTAAAGGAGACTATCTCTCAACGCTTATGCCATCTGATATCCTTGAGCGGCCATGAATGCATTGATTAGTTCACGATGGCATTATATTTATATTGCTAAATTTGTATCTGCATTTGATAGTTGATTAAATTTCGGTCTGCATTGCATATCAGATTATATGATGCTGCCTAGAAGAATATTTGACTTTTCTTTACTGGGATGAAAATATGAAAGTGTTACCACATTATAAATACATTATAAATGTAATCTATTTTGGACGCTTGTCATTTCTTTAACTTAACTATACGTGAATCAAGATCTGTGTTGATTCACCAACTCTCAAAGAGACTAACCCAACGAATTCCTTTCAAGACAAAAGGAATTCCTGTATCAACAGCTTTTCATCCTAGCCGTTCCATATTCTTTACTGCATCAAAGAAGGACGTTCGCGTCTATGACTTACTAAAGCAAAAGCTCATTAAAAAGCTTGATGCTGGAGTCCGGGAAATCTCTTCCATAGCTATACACCCTGGAGGTCTCTCTCTCTCTCTCTCTCACACACACTCACACGTGCAACTAAAAACAATTTGACATATGGATAGTTCGTGGTCCCTAATGCTTCACCGTACTTAATGCAGGTGATAATGCCATTGTTGGAAGCAAAGATGGAAAGTTGTGTTGGTTTGACATGGACCTGTCATCTCGGCCTTACAGAGTCCTCAGGTATGCAAGACGAATTAATTATCATCATTGTAAAAGTGCCTTTGAGATTCCTTGGTCTTGACAATTTGTTGGAGAAAGATGAGTCCGTTTAATAGATCATTAAAACGTATAGATCACTAAAACGTTATGTTGCGGGATTAAAGTATTGGTGTACTTGACTGACATTATATCAAAAGGTTGAAAAGTGCATTAATAAAGAATCGAAGAAGAATTATCATCAGTGATAGCACCCTTGAAAGCTGTGTTAGATTGAAATTGTAGGGGAGCTTTAGGGACCAAGTTTGTATCGATGACTAAATTTCTTCCACCCACTCACTTGTGATTATGTTATTGACATCATTCATCATCAGCTAAGAATTAAGCAATTGTTATCACCCATTACAAAAGTTTGCTGTGGTTGTTCGAAATATTGAGGAGGGTTGAATTTGCAATTTGATCATTGTATTGTGATGCAGAGGGCTGAATTTCTGTAACATTTTTTTAGAGGTTTTTTCATTGAAACCTGTGTTAGATTGAAATTGTAGGGGAGCTTTAGGGACCAAGTTTGTATCGATGACTAAATTTCTTCCACCCACTCACTTGTGATTATGTTATTGACATCATTCATCATCAG